TACTGGGGATCGAACTTGGGTCCTTGCGCTTGCAAGGCAGGCGGCGGAACCACTGAGCTAAATCCCCGGCCCACTTTTTTTTTTTTGTACTGGGAATCGAGCTCAGGACGCAGCACCACTGAGCTAAATCCCTAGCCCAAGAAATCTTTTCATGTAGTTGGATTTCTCTAGCTCACCTCCGAGGTTTCTGGGTACTTACCAAAGCCTTCTCCAAATTCTCCTCCAGGATTTTTATGGTTTCTTTGCTGTGTTTAATCTGTCATGTGTTTGGAATCTACCTTTGCATAAACTGATAATCCCACACAATGTGAATTGCCACCTTTATGTTGTTGCTAAATTTCCATAAACCCAGTCAACTTTTCACGAAAGTGTTTCACCTTTTTTATTTCCCAGTGCTGAGGATTGAACCAAAGCTTGACAGGCATGCTAGGAAAGTGCTCTGTCCTTAAGCTACACCCTCAGACCTTCATAAATTTTATTATTCTTATTGTTATTATATTTTGAGACAGGGTCTCGCTGTGCAGTTCAGACTGGCCTTAAACTCACTATATGGCTGGTATTGAATTCATGGCTATCCTCCTGCCTCAGCCTCCGAGTGCTGGGACTACAGGCTTACCCTACCACGCCCGGCATTAAACTTTATTTTTGTAGGGCCAGGGATTTAGCTCAGTGGTTCTGCCGCCTGCCTTGCAAGCGAAAGGTCCTGAGGGTCCTGAGTTTGATCCCTGGTACCAAAAAAATCCCCCAAAAAACCTTAAAATAAAAAAATAAATAAATTTTATTTTTGAGGCAGAGTTTCTCTAAATTGCCTAGGCTGATTTCAAACTTGATCCTCACGGTTTAGCCTCCGAAGTAGCTGGGAGTACTCCAGCGCCCAGAGCAGAAAGTGTTTTACTTCCCTAGGTGCTCTGTGGCCTGAGGGTCCCAGAGGTCCAGCAGCACTCCAGTGTGAGGCTGCAGGGCAGATCTCAACTGCCCAAAGCTAGGGTCCCTCTGCCTGGAATCTCGCGTCTCGCCTGCCTAGAGCTGAAGGCCGGGGAGCCCGCGGCGCCTCCAGGAAGAATTTCGGGCGCTCCTTCAGTCCCCTTCGCACCTACAGTTCACGCCCCGCGCGACCCACAGTCCTGCGTGACTCCTCGCTTTTGGTCCCACGCATCGTCCCACATGAACCCTTGGACCCTGACCCCCATACATCCTCAGTGACCGCTTCGCTTCTGTCTCCCTATACATGTCCCGCGGTAACCCCTCCCCCTATTGTCCCCCCAAGCATCCCGCGTGACCCTTTCATCTCCCGTCTCCCCAATATCCCACGTGACTCCTCCATCTCCTGAAGTGGGTGTTCTGGGGCTCAGCGCTCCCTTCGGGCCCCGCTTCTCCTCCTGCCCCCCAGACCAACTGTGGTCCCTCGCTCCCCGCGGGGCGGGGCGTGGCTTGGCAGGCGGAAGTGCCCGGGGCGCCGCGGCCGGCCGGCCGGGCCATGGGATCACTGGGCCGGGATTGTGGCGGGGGCGGCGCGGGGCGCGCGGAGCCATGGGCTGGGCCGGGGGGGGCACGCAGGGCGAGGCGCGGGCAGCGGCAGCGGCAGCGGTGGAGGGGCCGCTGCTCCTGCTCCTGCTTTTGCTCGCGCAGCCCCAGCCCGCCGCCGCTGGCGACAGCAGGAGGAGCGGTGAGTGAGCACTGGCCCGAGGCGCCAGCCATCAGGGGCGGGGGGCGGACGGCAGCGGAGAGCCGGGGCGGGGCCTATTGTGACTCACCTGGGGGGCACCTGTGCGCTCACCTGGCACCGGCGGGGACTGAGGTTCCCCCCGGGTGGCCCCCTTGCAGCGCCTGGGCAGAAAGGACAGCTGCACCCCCTCTTCCGTTCCCGGGCCGGATCTGGCGAGCCCGGACCCTCGGAGCTTGCGCTCTTCCCCCTCCTCCTCCCCGCGTTTGGGGTTGGGAACTGACTGTAGTACGCCGGAGAGGGGAGTGGAGGGACCCCAGCTAGATGGCCCAGTGGGAAGAGCGGTAGGGCAGTGAGAGTCCGGGGCCTCTGTTTGCTCTTTTGGAGTGGTAGAGATGGGAAAAAGTTGCTTAGACCCTAGAGTGGGGATCCCACGGGCATGTTTCCACCCCTCTCACAGTGTCCCCTAATCCCAGTGTCTTTGACTTTGCTGGAGGCAGAGGAAGCTGTCCAGCCAGCAAGGGCCAGGTAGAGAAACTGCCTCCTCCCTTTGCATTTCTGCTTCCTGAGTGTTCCCTTCCTAACTGAAGACCAGTGAGATGGCTAGACCAGAGTGCACTACCTCTGTGGGTCCTGCTTGGGTCAGGAAGTGAGATACAAACAGCCAGGCCCTAGACACCTGGCAACGTAAGTGCCTTCCCCTGACCCCTGTGGCCTGAAACTCCCTGAGGTATGCATCCCTGACAGTCTGGCTTCAAGAGCCTCCATGGTTCTGGCCACCCGATTCCCTCCCTGGGCACCAGGTAGCTCATCCAGTGCTTCAGAGGCTGTCTGCCTTCCTTTGCTTTCCGTGCTCTGGGCTTTCTCTGAAATATTGCTCCTCCAAGCTCCTGTTTCTTTTTGAGGGTTCTTCCTGCTGGTTTTTGAGCTTGGGACCACTTGAGGTGAAAGGCAGTTTTCCCTGAGGAACATGCTCCTGATTAAATTGCTCCATTGGATACTGACACTCTATTTCTCCTTTCTTCCTGGGGTCAGGACGGAATGGGAGGTCACTGGTGAATGAGATGTTTATGGAGCAACCTTGTCAGTCTGGGTGAGGGCCTCCTAGACCTTGAGCTGGCTTCTTATCTCCTGTGTTATCTGTTGGACTATCATCACAACCACCCACTGGGCACTAAGTGCGCTCAGGCTGGTTTTCTGAGGCATAGGGGTGGAGGTGCTTTGTTCCTAGCAGTTAGGAGAGCTGCACCTACAGGGTGATGTCCCTTTCCTGCCCCTGGGTGTGTATCTGGTAAGCTGCCTCTTTTAAGACCCCATGGTTGGGCCATCAGTGGCAGTGGGAGGCTGTCCTGGCTCAGTTCCCAGGACTTTAGTTTTTCTGTCTATATTATCATGTAGGTCCTGTGTCACCCAAGGGCCTGTAGAAGTTCCTCAGGCCACAACTTGTTAGGTGAGATTGGCGGCCAGCAGGACTTGGAACATGTTGTAGGTGAAGCCTACCCTGCTCAGCCCCCATCCAGGCTTCTCTGAAGGTGCTTGCTTTGCCACCAGGCTGCTATCTTGTCTCCAGAATCCTCTATGGAGGAGTCACTAGGCTGGCAGGAGAGGCAGCTGCTCACCTGACTCCCTCCCCTCTCTTGGGAGGGCCTGGACCAGTCATTCTCCCAGAGAGAGGCTTCCTAGGTGGGGAACACTCAGCTCAGAATGAGGCCAAATGCTGGAAGCACGTTACCAACTCATTAACCTTGGAGGGACATGCTGTACTCAGCCTACCCATGTGGATGGACACTGGGGGCCAGAGGGGGGAAGTCATATGAGTACAAGGCCTGACTAGCAGTAGGGCTGGTGTAGGAACCCAAGAGCTGCTACAAGGCCTAGTGCTATGGGGAGCCCTCATTCCGGGTTGTGGGCCCCTGCTTTGTCCTAGTACCACCAAGCTTGGGCATGTGCCCATAGGCAGCCAGAGGCCATCCACCCAGTGTGAGGCCAGGCACCCAGCATTTGAGCTACCGTCCTTGGGGAGGGGAGGCAAAAGAATGAAGCCTGAGGGGAAATTTCCAACTTTCAGACCATCCAAGGGGCTGGTGGACAACAGGGACCTTTGCCAAGGTCAAAGTTGTCCTGCTGGGTACTCTGGCTGGCCCTAGGACTTGACTTCCTAATTCCTTTCCCTCTGGGTGCCTCATTTCTCCCAGTCTGCACTAACCCTCGGGGAGGAGGGTGCCCTGCACTGGCTGATAACATCCTCTCCCTGCAGAAGCCAGGCTGGTGTCTGAACATTTCTCGCAGGCCCCACAGAAGCTGTCCTTCTACAGCTGGTATGGCAGCGCCAGACTATTCCACTTCCGTGTGCCCCCAGACACCATACTGCTGCGCTGGCTGCTGCATGTGTCCTGGGACAGTGGCCCCACATGCACTGATGCAGAAATCACCGTGTAAGTACGAGCCTCCTGCCCACAGCACCTAAGCCTGGCCAAGGCCCCCATCTAATTGCAGCTCCTGCCCTGATCTCCCTCCTCTAGGCATTTCCGCTATGGCGCCCCTCCTGTCATCAATCCACTGGGTGCCAGCTTCCCTGATGACACGGCGGTGCAGCCCTCCTTTCATGTCAGGGCACTGCTAAGTACCATGCTGCTGGGCAACACCACTGTCAATGTGTCTCACCCAGCCCCTGGAGACTGGTTTGTAGCCGCCCACCTGCCCCCCTCATCTCAGAAGATCGAAGTGAAGGTGAGGGGGACTGACCTCTAGGATGGGTGCAGGACTCCTTGGTGCATGGGTAACCTATTGTCCACCTCTTTGGGGCATACCTTGCTCTGGGCTTAGCCACTTCATCCTGGATGCAGCCCTCCAATTCCCCTGAGCCTGTTTCCCAACCCTTGCCCCCTGAATTCTCTGACACCCTTGGGCTTTGGTGTCTTCCTAGGGCTTTGTTTCCTCCTGTGCCTACGTCTTTCAGCCTGACATGCTGGTTATGCGGGTGGTGGAGTTCACCATCCTGGAGCCTGATGTGCCCCTTCCACAGATCCTACTCACCCACCCCAGCTACCTCAAGTGAGTAGGTTCTAAAAGAGAACTGGGTCTAAGGCCTCAGTGGTTCCAGCACCTGTCTCGAAAGCCCAAGGTTCCAAGTTCAATCCCTGGTACCAAAAGAAAAAAAAGAGAGAGAGAGAGCTGGGTCTGCCCTGTAGCCTCAGCCTTCTGTGTTAGAGTGGGTGGTGCTACTGTCCCCAGCCAGGTCCTGGCCTTGGAGTTAGTTGTACTGGGAAGTAGGGACAGATGCCCTGCCCATGTGGATTGGAGGAAGTATGGAGCCTGAGCAAGGCCATACCACCTTGCCCTAGGATCTTTGTCCCTGAGTACACCCAGGAGCTTCGGCTGGAGCTGCAGGGCTGTGTATCCAGTGTGAGCCTGGGCTGCCCAGTACGTCTCACAGTGGGTGTGGCTACCCTGCCCAACAACTTCCAGAAGGTGCTGACCTGCACCGGCCCCATCCTGTCCTGCCGTCTGCTGCTGCCCTCACCACCTTGGGGCCAGTGGCTACAAGTGATGGCTGAGAGCCTGGCAGGGCCGCACGTGTCAGTGGCCTTCAGTGCTGAGGCTGCCCTCACAGGTGAGCTACATGGAGGAAGGTGGGTGGGAGTGGCTCTGTCTCTTCCTTTGACCCCCAGACTTTCTTCCAGCTGAGTCTTTTATCCTTTTGACAGCCTGCAGGCCATGGAGTGTGACCTTCCAGCGCCTTATTCAAAACAGCACAAACCAGAGTTATGATACCATTGCAAGCCAGCTGTCCCTGAGACCTGCCCACCAGGACCTGAGCAGGAGTGGTGGGATGGGCAGTGGCCCCTTCTGCCTGCTGAGCTACCCAGTCACGAGAGAGGACATGGATGTGCTATCTGTGCACTTCCAGCCCTTGGATGGGGTCTTGGTGCTGGTGCGGTCAGACAAACCCTCTGTGATGCGGCTCCGCCTTGACACAGGCATGGACAGTGGGGGCTCCCTCACTATCACCCTGACGGCCAACAAGGTACTGTCCTTGCAGCTGGATAGGCTAACTGCAAATGGCATGGGCTTGGCTCAGGGCACTTTGTACACTGATTTTAGCCTGGACACCAAGGCAGGGCAGCCTTTCAGGCAACAGAGTGATGGCAGCAGCATTGGGCGGGATAGGGGCCCTGTCTCTGGATAGGAGTCCTCTCCTCTAGGGCAGCCCTATCTTTGTCAGCAGGTCCTAGAGCTGTGCCTGAGGAAACAGTCTGTGGAGACAGCTTGGGTCAAGTGCCCAGGCCTGAGGTTAGCCCTGTGCAGCAAGAGCCTTGGAGAAAGGCACCCTGCATGACTGAGTTGACAGGCAGGGCAGATGGTGTGCTGGCTCTTGGGGGCCAAGAGGCCAACTCTGCACTGCTTCCCCTTCTAGACTGAGGTCACAAATGACACCTTTGTAGTGGCCTGTGTGAATGTCGCTTCACCTTTCCTCAACTTCAACGCTTCACTTAGCTGTACTACAGGTATGGTAGCCAGGTGGCACCTGGAGGGTGGCCCCGACCAGGCCCTCTGCTCTTGCTAACAGGACTTCCTGTTCTATGCAGCCTTTTTCCAGGGCTACCCCCTGTCTCTGAATGGTTCATCTAATACAGCCAACCTCATCATCCCCTACCCAGAAACAGACAACTGGTACCTCTCCCTGCAGCTTGTGTGCTCTGAGAGTACTGAGTACGTAAACCTGGGGCCCAGCAATGAGGTACTAGCTAGGAACAACCGGATAAGTTGTGTTCAAGACCTTGGCCTCCCTGAGCTTGGAGTGACCCATTTCCTGCTAGCAGTGAGAGATCATTTGTTTACCATGTGTTAGGAGTGCTTCTCCTTCTCTACTTGGTCACTCTTCCACAGTAGCCCTGGAAAGAGAAAGGACCACCTCTGGGGCTATCAGCCTGGGGGCTCAATTCTGGGCTCATATGTCCATAAGCCTTCGGAAACCCTGGTGGTAGACTAGCCAGCAGAAACTGAAGTCAGCTTTACTGTGCCTCCCATCCTCATAGGGACTGTGATCAGGCCAAGATTCGAGTACAGACCACCATGTACCTGGTCCCTTGTTTGAATGAGTGTGGACCCTATGGCCAGTGCCTCCTGCTCCGCAGATATGGCTATCTGTATGCAGCCTGCAGCTGCAAAGCAGGTGAGGACTGGGGCTTTGCATACCTAGGGGCAGTCTCTGCTGCCATTGACATCCCAGCCCTGTGCCTTTTCCTATGGAACCTCCACCAGGGCTGTAGAGAGCACTCCTTTGGAGCAAAGTGGGGAGGTGGGTACTCTTCCCATTGCCCCACAATCTATTGCCCAAGCACAGAGACTGAGGTATCTCCAAAGTGGTACTGCCACCTGACCTTGGCCTCCCCTGCCTCCTGCCTGTCTACACTGTCTACATGCCCACATCTGCCTATACATGTACATACCTGCTCATACATGTTCACAGTTGCCCTGCCTACACATAACTGCCCATGCATATCTGTCTGTTTTTGTCTTTACCTGTCCCTACCTGTCCACACCTGTCTATATTTGTCCCATACCTGCCTCTATACCTGCCCCGCTTGCTTCTGACCCAAAATTCAGAAATCCCATATTGGGACCTTGGCCTCAGCTGCCCACCCCAGGCCCCTGGGTGTTCTGTGGCCCCCAGGATGGCGTGGGTGGAGCTGCACCGACAACAGTACAGCCCAGACAGTGGCCCAGCAGAGGGTGGCTGCACTCCTGCTCACCCTCAGCAACCTCATGTTCCTGGCTCCCATTGCTGTGTCTGTGCGCCGTGCCTTCCTGGTGGAGGGCTCCGTCTACCTCTACACCATGTTCTTCTCCACGGTAGGCCCAGCCCACATCTTGGGGTTCCCTAGGGTGGGGAGGTCCAGGATGCTGCTCATTGCCCCATCTCGCAGTTCTACCATGCCTGTGACCAACCGGGGGAAGCTGTGCTGTGCATCCTCAGCTATGACACGCTCCAGTACTGTGATTTTCTGGGCTCTGGGGTGTCTACCTGGGTCACCATCCTCTCCATGGCCCGGCTGAAGACAGTTCTGAAACACGTGAGTGACCTATGATGTGGGGGCTGGGCTCTGAGGGAGTAAAGGTCCTGCCACATAGCACATGCAAGGCAGTAGGAGGACAGAGAAAGCACTGGACCTCAAGTCTCACCTAGTGATCAGCCACCCTCTGAAGAAGCTACAGGCACCTGTTAGGGAAAAGTGGCAGCTATCAGAAGACACCAGGATGGAAGGTAGTGGGCAGGGTTCTGCAAGACCTTCCAGCTCCAGCTAGGTATGGTGGCATATGCTTATAATCCCAGCACTTGGGAGGCAGAGGCAGGAGGATCACCAGGAGTTCAGGACCAGCCTGGGAAATATAGTGAGCTCAAGGATGAATTATATAGCAAGGCCCTATCTGAAAAAAAAAAAAAAAAGACCTCCCAACTCTCAGGCCTTGTTCAGATAGGAGCTCTCTCTGGGCCATACCTCTGAAAAGCCCCAGTTCTTTGGTGCCAGAACACTGGGGAGTTTTTGCAGCAGCTGGACCTGGCTGATGGAGATGCATCTTGCCTGTGAACTATGTTCTCTGTCTCTGCTCTGAGAACTGCAGGCTTAGAGCTACCTTGAAGGGCATCTGTGAGAGGGCCATGGTCAGGGCACAGACACGGGAAGAAATTTCCAAAGTACTGGGGTTCAACTGGGCTGAATGTAGGGGCACAAATTTGCAGGTTGTGGGCAGAGGTGTCTGATGGAGACTTAGGAGTGGGAATCCCTACACAGCTATCATCTGGGGGGAGACTGAGGCTGTCCTGATGGGAGACTCCACAAACCTGGAGGTGCAGGGGAAGGGGAGTATGTGGGCACAGAGTTGCCATTTGTGTCTATCCAGTTTGTGTCCTACCTTAGGGAGAGACACCATCTCCTCGTCCCCAGAGGTGCCTGGCTGGCCAAGTCTGTGTCTCAGAAATGTCAAGGCTGCTGAGCGTAGTGGCACATACCTATAACCCTAGTATTTAGGAGACTGAGGCAGGAAGATTGCCGTGAGTTCCAGACCAGCCTGGGATACATACTGAATTAAAGGCCAGCCTGAACTACATAGCGAGACCCTGTCTTAACCACCCCCAATAATAATAATAATAATAAAATACAAAAAGATGTCAAAGCTGCATTCACCTGTGGATGCCATGCAAGAGCCAAAGAAGGGCATTTTTCTCCCAGCCAACAGAGTAGGAAAAATTCTGCCAGCAGCTCCAAAGGGGGTGTACAGAGTTTCTGAGAGATTGTGGGGGTGGCAAGATGATCAGTGTGGCTGGCCGCTTGTTTCTTCTGGGTTTTGTGCTTCCACAGGTGACCTTAATCCAAAACTCTTGTTACCCCATAGTTACCCCTGTGTCTTGTCCAGGTCCTGTTTCTCCTGGGCACACTGGTCATCGCCATGTCCTTGCAGCTGGATCGAAGGGGCATCTGGAACATGATGGGGCCCTGCCTCTTTGCCTTCATGATCATGGCTTCCATGTGGGTAAGGACTAGGGCAGGCAGGTGCTCCTGCCCAGACTCTGGGAGAAGGCCCTTTTTCGGGCCCTACTCCCAGTCCTGCTTCAGTCAGCAGATCTAGGGCCCAAATGTCCCACATCTGCTGAGGGCTGCTGGAGTGCCCCCACCCCTGCCCCTGGTCCCTGCCACTCAGAGGCCCAGGGTGGTTATGTCCCAGAGGTCTGGGATTGAGGACCAGTGGCCTTGTGCCCTTACACCCTCTCCAAGTTATCCATCTTCATGGTTCTGCTGCCCAGACCTGGGCGGGCCCTTATAATCCCTAACCCAGGGCCCTAGGAGCTTCTGCCACAGCCAGCCTGCACCAATACTAGCATGGCTATTTGCTTCAGGTGTACCGCTGTGGGCACCGGTGCCAGTGTTATCCCACCTCGTGGCAGCGCTGGGCCTTCTATCTCCTGCCTGGCATCACCATGGCTTCTATGGGCATCACCATCTACACCTCCCTGATGACCAGCGACAACTATTACTACACACATAGTATCTGGCACATACTCCTGGCTGGGAGTGCAGCCTTCCTGCTACCACCACGGAATGAGCAGGCTGAGCCCTGGTCTTGCTCACAGAAGTTGCCCTGCCACTATCAAATCTGCAAGAATCATCGGGATGAGCTATATACTGTGACATGATGTGGCCAGCTTGGGGACATCTGCTACTGATAATCTCTTCAGCCAGAAGTAGGACCAAGGAAGCGGAGCCCTGTCCAGCCCTGTCCAGCCCTGTCTAGATTGGTTCCCAACTGAATAAAATTGCCCTGAGACCTTTGCTTCCTCCTCCAGAGGAAAGGAACACTCCCTCCCCAACACACACACACACACACAGAGGACCTGGTCCCCTGTGTCTGCTGTCGACATCCTCAACAAGGTCCTCAGTATGTCTCTGTGGCATCACAGACAATGTGTGTGGGCAGGGTCTTATGCCCTGCTGGCCTGGAAGTGATTAGAGGCTGGAAGCAGTAGAGAAAAGCTCCCTATTGCCCTGTTCCCCTGTGAGGTTGTGATGTGAGACCTACAGGGCCAAGAAGGCCTGAGTCCCTGAGGTTGGCAGCCTAGTGATCTGGCATCCCTGAACCTGTGTGCCCGAATGCCTCCGTCGGGACCCCATGGTGCTGCAGTTGCAGTGGGAGAGACCAGGGTTACCAGCAGTGGATGGGCCCCCCGGGGATACAGGACCTCATCCTTCCCTTTTGCTCTCAGATCTTGGGAAAAGCCTCCTGGGGAGGGGGCTGCTTAGCTGTTCTGAGGGTATGATTTGAACATCCCCCCAGGTTCTTGGGCCCTTGTCTGGCAAGCATCCTTTTGAATAAGTCTTAGGAGACGAAGTGGTGGCTGTCTACCCTCCCTGCACTGGAGCAAATGAGACTCAGAAAAGTGCCTGTGGAGAGCTTGCTCAGCTTTTCCAAATCAGGTGACTCTGGGCTGACCGCTTCCAGAAGCAGTGCTCTGCCCCTCCCCCGGGGCTGGGAAGCTGGTGCTACACCCTCCTACCTTTTAACTCTGGCTGAGTGCAGTCTTCTTCGGGGTCTCCCGCAGCAGTCACCCTGCACTTAGCTGCCAAAGCATTCCCCAGCCTCTGAAAAAGTAAGCGTGTACTTATGGTGGTTTTGGGAGGGGGCGTGGGTCAAGGTCTCACTGTAGTGCAGGCTGGCCTTGAACTCACTATGTGGCCCATGTTGGCCTCAAACTCACGGAGATCCTTCTGCCTCACCCTGATTTTTCATGCCTAACGAGTTTTTACATTTTTCTGCTCTCTTTCCTGGGGTGGTGGGTGAGGCGGGACCCAGAAGAGCCAACCTCTTGCCGTCCTCTCTGAAAATGACCGGGCCGCACTTTGCCGACATTTCCTTAAACCTCTACTCTTTCCTCGGGACATTCTCCACGGTTCCTAAGGATAGGGGGCGGGACAAAGATAGATGAACGGGTTTAGTAGCCAGTTACCGGCGAGCACTGGGTGCAGTTCCGGTTCCGGTGGCGCAGATCTCTGGGTCCTGGCTGAGGTGAGGGCTACGGCAACGCTGTGAGATGCCTCTGCACAAATTCCCGGTCTACCTGCGGAAGCGGCTGCAGCTGCGGGAGGGCATCTGCTCGCGCCTGCCCGCGCATTTCCTGCGCTCTTTGGAGAATACCTCCACGCCTACCCCTGTCCACTATCAGCCTCACGGGGCCAAGTTCAAGATCAATCCCAAGAACGGGCAACGGGAGCGCGTGGAGGACGTGCCCATCCCCATTTACTATCCCCCTGAGTCCCAGAAGGGGCTCTGGGGTGGCGAGGGCTGGATCTTGGGCTACAGATATGCTAACAACGACAAGGTAGGTGCGGGACTGCTCGTTGTCGGTCTGCTGGACTCAGCTGTGCCAAAAGAATATGCTAACAAATGAAGCGGTACAGACCTGGTAAACTTAACTGGGAAAACCAGCATATTCTTGAGATGGGGTGTTCCAGCCTCCGGGAGAACAGACCGTACAAAGGTTTGTGGAGGGTGGCTGTAGCGATCAAAAGTAGAGACTTGTGAGCTCAGGAGAGATGAGGTCAGTGCTCAACCACCAAAGGTTCAAGGCCACCCTGAGCTACATAGTGAGACATTGTCTCAAGAAAATAATGATAAAAAAAATTTAAGAAGAATCAGGAAGCCTGAGAGACTACAAGGCAATTTGCAAAGAGCAGAACCCATCCCCTATGTTTGCTTATGGTGAGAGTCTGAGTATTCTGGGAGGAGTCTTGTATTTTTGAGGTCTTTCAGGCTACCCTTTTACTGGAAAGGGTAAGGCACTGGGGAACCCACCAAACAAAACAAAACAAATGTCCCATACAGCAAAACTCACGGGACTTCTGTTGTACTCTTAGCTGTCAAACAGGGTGAAGAAGGTGTGGAAGCCACAGCTCTTTCAGCGGGAGCTCTACAGTGAGATCCTGGACAAGAAGTTCACTGTGGCTGTAACTATGCGGACCCTAGATCTCATTGATGAGGCCTATGGGTTTGACTTCTATATCCTCAAGGCAAGCAGGGCTAATGCACGACAGGGTCCTGTGGTCAGTCAGACTCAAGGGAGGCCCAGAGGAGTGCCACACCAGAGACTGTGGTGCCTCAAGAGTAACTGGCAAAACATAGGATCATGCCCCTTTCTGGGGAACCCCAGTGGGGCTTTCTGCCCACAGGAGAGTCCCTTATGTGGGTGGCTAATGTACCCAAGGGGCCTGAGTTGAGTATGGCTACCTGCTTCTGACTCTTCAGCTTAACCTGTATCCTGATCCACTCTAGGCCTGGGTGCTGGTGTTACCCACCATGCCTGGCCTGCTCTGGTCAAGTTGAGGGATGGTTGACGGGATGTGTGTGTGGAGCCCTGCCTTTAGCACCTGGCCCCAAGTGTACCTCCTACAGACCCCAAAGGAAGACCTGTGCTCCAAGTTCGGGATGGACCTAAAGCGAGGAATGCTGTTGAGGCTTGCCCGGCAGGACCCCCAGCTACACCCAGATGACCCTGAGAGGAGAGTAGCCATCTATGACAAATACAAGGTGAGGGCTTCCCCTGTCCTCCCTGCTGCCTATGGCCTTTGGAGAGGCTTATCCTCACTGTGTCCTCTTTTCCTGCCCAGGAGTTTGTCATCCCAGAGGAGGAGGCTGAGTGGGTTGGCCTGACGCTAGAGGAAGCTGTGGAGAAGCAGAGGCTCCTGGAGAAAAAGGTGAGCGGGTGTGAGTGCCAGCTTTTGCTGCCTTTCTAGGAGTGGGCAGAGAACCTGGCTAAGCAGGTGTCACACCCCCTGATGCATCTGTGTCTGCTGCTGTGCATATAGCTCTATACTCGCCTGGAGGAAGTTCCTTCTGTCTCCTGTTCTGTTCCTACACCAGTGGAAAGAACAAGATTCTTTTTTGCCTTTCTTTCGTTTTCCTTTTGGGGGATGGGGTCTTGCTGTGTTATTCAGCATGGCCTTGAACTCACTGTGTAGCCCATGTTGGCCTCGAACTCACAGTAATAATCCTGCCTCAGCCTCCTGAGTGCTGGGATTATAGGTATGTGCCACCACACTTAGCAGTAGAGCGAGATTGTTGGGTCCGTTTACTTGGCTGTCTGGAATCCCTAGGGTCTTTCTTTTGTGTTTTATTCTCTAGAAGGGTTTGGAGCCTATAGCTGCCAGGACAGGGAGCCCACCTGTGGCATAGCAGCTGGCTCCACTCCTTCTATTCTCTCTGCTCAGTTTATCTGTGACCAAAGGGAAGCCAGAGGCAGGCACTTGGCTGCTGTGTCCCCAAGAAAGGGGAGACTTCTCATGGGCAGGGTCTTCCTTCCAGATTGACAAACCTGGTGACAAGCCTCATGACCAAGGCTGAGAGGCCCAGCTCCTACTGTGGCCCCCCCATTCCCTGAGATGTCTGACCAACAGCAGCTGGTTCCCATTTTCCCTGGAGTCCCAGCTGCTATTGGCCACTGTGAGTCTCACTAGGACCCTCTTCCTTCAGGACCCTGTCCCCCTCTTCAAGATCTACGTGGAGGAGCTGGTTGAGCGGCTTCAGCAACAGGCACTGTCAGAGCCTGTGGTGGTACAGAAGAGAGCCAGCGGGAAGTGACCAAACAGCCTCTTCAGTGTCTGACCACCAGGCTCAGCCTTTCCTGCTGGGTCTTTGTTTTGTTTTTTTTTTCTTGGTGCCGGGGATCGAACTCGGGTCCTTGCGCTTGCACAGCAGGCGGCGAAACCACTGAGCTAAATCCCTGGGCCATCCTGCTGAGTCTTTTATCACTGTGGACACGGAACCTGGGATGGCCATGAGGGCCACCTGTGTGTGGGCAGTGGGTGAATCCTGGATTTTGTATGCTAGCCACACAGTTCCTGGGGCCACTCTTGTCCCAGGAATCCCGGAGGCTCTTCCCAGAGTGGGGCAAATACTGGACAGCATTTATTGTGCCTGTGGGTCTAGGACCAAGTAAAGTCTGAGCCAGTCAGTGTGTGTGTTGTTTTGGTTGGAGGACTAGAGTTCTCTCTGGAGATCTTGGCCTAGTCATCCCCTGCCCCTGTCAGATCCAGCATGGGGAGTGTGCACTCTGTAGCTCCAGCTGCCATCTCCAGGGATCTGTGCAGACTGAGGTTTAGTTTGATGTTTCTTTTTCCCCTGGAGAGGATTCTATACACTTGATGTGTCTGGGATGTACATCCTTCAGTCACTGACTCTTGGGTTGTACTTCTAGATGGGCACCTGGTGGCCACTGGTATAGCTGCCGATGGAAGTCCTGTGACCTCAGCAAGTCACTGCTGATCATCTCCCCTGGAACTTGAGGCAGTTTGAGGTAGACTCTGGGTGTGGCATTGACCTTGAATCTAGAAATAGCCCTTCTTTTCCTCCCCCCCCCCTTTTATTTTTGAGACAGCGTCTCACTATGCATTTCAGGCTTGCCTTGAATTCACAGAAGTCTTCTTGCCTCAGTCTCACTGGTGCTGGAATCACAGGCCTGAGCCACCATGCCTGGCAAAATAGCCCTCTGCTGGGGGAAGCCACATCAGTTTCATCAAATTCTCACAAATGCCCTTGGCTCAAAATGATGATGGTCCTCAGTGAATGACAGATATAACCCCACACCAGAAATAAAGCAGTAATCCAGGTCTGGGACAAGGTATAGATCTGTCCTAATATTCTGCCTTCTAAGATGTGGGAACGCAGAAACTGTACATGTGCAGTTACACACATGCACACAGACAGGTTTGTGGTCATGTGTGTTGTTCACACACAGAAGTGGGAACTAGATGTGAGGAGGGTGGTCGTCTGTATTTCCCTGCCGTATGTGTCACACTTCCACCCTATAGGCCCTGGCCAGGCCTGGCCATCTGAGGCATCCTGGGTATTCATTTTGTGCTGGGAACCACACATCCTGCAGTGGGGGGCCTGCACTGATCAAGGTCAAACCTACAAAAGGCAGAGCTGCCCTGTGGTGCTCCATACCTTGCCCTGTCCAGCTGGGTCTGAATAGCTCGGGCCAAGCTAGATCCTCCCACACACACATGCCCAGGGATTGCCTGAGACCATGTGTGTCCATGACAACAGAACCCAAGGTTAGCCTCAGGGTTGTAGGGGCTATAGCTGGGCTGTAGAGGAGAAGGTAGACATAAGGGTAGACTGTTATGACTGGGTTTGGGTTCCCTAGGGATGAGCAGTAGAGACATTGTTTACCTAGAGGTGAGACAACCATGGGTAGGAAGGGCCCATGCCCACTGGGGTAGAATGGAAATGAAGCAGCCCGTGGATCCAGTTGGAATCCTGTGCCAAACTTCACACCTTGCTGGCCTCATCTGCCTTTTGAACCCTGCTTAGGTGGCTAGAGGGTAGTGGGAAGAGCAAGTGGGTCCTGCTGGGTTACCTGGGCACTGTGGACCCTGCCCAGGGGAGCCACTGCCAGGCTCACCCTCCCATGTTATTCTTTGTTGGCCTCCCTTCACCTGTACCATCACAGCCTGCTGACAACTCTAGCCTTCCATTGGCTCCACACGGGGTTAGGCTGTGTGGAGCCCTAGGCTTTCTCCAGTCCCTCTTGAGCCACCCTCACCTGAGGCCTGGACCCGTAACATTCCAGCTTCCTCTGACATGGTACACCTCACCACCCTCAAGCTCATCCTGTGCCCCTGAATGGTTTCTTCTCCCTGGCCACCACCAGCTGACCCTGGGCAGCATCCCTATCCACATATCACCCTTAGACTGGACTGTGTGTTGGTGGCTTCCAGCATGGCAGGGGAGCCCCTGTGATGCTAGGGGCTCCATTCTGTGACAGGGCAGCTCAGACTGGGACTAGGCTAATATGAAGAAATCTGGAGCCAAGTCGAGGGGCTACCTAAGTAGCAGAGTCCTGTGGCTCTGAGGAACAGCTATAGCTCCAAATCACCTGTGGCCAGGCTCATCCCAAGCCCAGTTCTGTGGGACCAGCCTAGCTCTCTGAACCTGCTTTCCTGGATATGAGAACCTCCTGGACCCATGTTCCAGCCACTAACCACCACTGGCAGGGATCACAGCGGCCACTTGGCCCCCTGGGCCAACCACAGCCCTGACCCCTTCCCTGGAGCCTGAGGCTCACACCTTCTCAGCCCTGATCTGCTTTTTGCTATATTCTGCTTGGCAAGTATGATCTGGGTCTGGGCCAGGAGGTAGCCTGGAGGAGGGATGTGGATATCCAGGGCTCCCTGAAGGTCTTCAGAGGGCCCTTGACCTGGCAGTGTTGCTCCTGGGACCACTGGACAGCCAGGCTGCTCCTGGCTGACAGAGATGGGGTGGTGGTGGCTTCAAGGCTGCTTGTTGATACCCTTACATGCCCAGGATGTTCAGTCTATGGAGGGGGACACATTTGCCCTGGCCTCACTGAGGACTGGGGATACAGAATTTTTTTGTACGCAAGAGGGCGCTGCAGCCAAGGGGAGAGCAGGTGCAAAGTCAGGTGTGTCACAGAATGTGGACCAGGCCCAGAATTCTGCCAAGAGAGTACTGGAGGTCCATAGGGAGCAGGGCCATCTTAGGCCCTTAGATGAGTGTTGAGAGGATCCTGGGAACAGACCCATGTGTTCAACAGGCAGTGGCCAGAATGAATGTGGTAGAATGGTACGTGAACAGAGCTAGGGCTGCAGGCCTTTTGCCATCTGAGGTAGAGGAAGAGCCTGGCTCTGCTCACCTTTGGTGGGGAGTTCTCCCTGCTTTTTCTTCCCACTGCCTCCTACCTATTATTTTCTCACCAGAATGGGCCTGGGCTTCAGCCCCTGGGGCAAGCCTGACCTGAAGTCCTTCTCAGCAGGGGCTCCAGAAGGACAGCAAGGTCATTTCTCCTATCCCTGTCAGGGGGTCAAGCAGGGCACAGAGGGGCCTGGGACAGGCTGTAAGAGGGACAAAGAACCCATCACACCCAGTATGAGTGAATACACATGAAATTGCTTAATACCTGGTGTAGGAACATCTACCATGCAGCCACACCCAATCACCTCTCTGAGGGGACCTTGGCATGGGCCCACTGGCGGTGCCGCCTGTTCCCTCAGCAGTCAGGAGTGGCTCGGGGGTGGTGGTGTCTAAAGGGGCTGGTTGCCATGGCTACCATAGGGTTCTGAGGCCCGTCATCTGGTCCCTGCCTCAGCCAATCGGCGGCAGGAACCCGAGCTGCAGCCTAGAGTCACGCTTCTGCCTCCCAGCCACACAGTGGCCAAGAGCAGGGACCGGCTTCCTGGAGTGGCTGAAAGTGCTCGGACAGACAGCCAAGCCCATCATGGCGGACAGCGGGATGGTGGGGCGTGAGCAGGCCCACGGAGCCAGGCAGGTGAGGTAAGCCAGGCGGGTGGACATAAGGATGGACGGGGGACAGGTGGACTACGTGGTCCTTGTAGCCCATTGTTCTCGTGGCTGCGGCTCTGCCTAGGGCCCACCCCGCCCTCAGGTACACACACACACACACACACACACACACACACCCGCCTACACCTTTGCCCTCGAACCCTCTCCCAAAACATCCCAAGTAGGGTCAGGGGAAGAGACAAAGGAAAGAGCAGGAGGTGGAATGAACCCCAGCACACCACAGACCTGAAAACCGCCCTGGTAGGTCTCCCATGTCCGATTTCACACAGAGGCGGCATCAAAGACCCCCTGACTGGCCTGGGTCCTCTGTGTCCTGGCCAACATGCCTGGGCTCTGTGAAAAGCCATGTCACGTCGGCATGATTTAAGGAGCTTTTTTGTTGTTTTCAAGAAGGATAAAAAAAGAAAAAGAAGCAATAGGAAGAAAAAAATTGTCCACCTATAATGGGGGAGCAGCCAGCCTAGATGGATCAGAAGCGCCAAATCCCATTACTCGGACTTCAGAGCACAGGCCCTGCTAGCAGCTGCGATTAAGAGCCTGTCAATGGGATCCCCTTTGGAGATCAAAGGCAGGCATGCTTGTCTGTGTGCATGCGCGTGCACGTGTGTGCGTGTGCATGTGTGGTGCAGAAGTATGTACTGTGGGGTGACAACGGAGGGGCTGAGCACCACAGCAGGAGGCCTAGTGTGTCCCCTCCCCTCTGTGGCCACCTTCCATGTAGCTCATGTCCTTGCGGCTATGTATGACATGCATGGATGCGTTCAGGGGGCCGAGCCAGGCGCAGGTAAGGCCTGTTACCTGATAGCTGCACCCTCTGTAAGGCAGTTCTGACTGGGCCCAGATCCCCACTTGTGCATTCACTTTTTACTAGTGTCTGGTCACTTCCTCAACTTCCGCCCTGAGGGGCCCATGGGAGCTGAGAACACGTAGGCCTAGTTTGGGCAGAGCTGGCTGTGAGGTGGACCAGGGCTGTGTGTGCGACCATTGACCATAGTCCTATTGCCCACAGAGGCCTTAGGCTCTCAGCTGGCCCAGCAAGCACGTCCTGGGGGTTCAAAGCTGCTGTCGATGTGATTGTTAGGTTATTAGGTAAACTCTGAGAAGAAAATCTTTTAATCCACTGTGGCTAATCCAGTGCACTTTTGTTTGCCACAACAGATTCTACAGCAACAAAGGGGCAAGAGGGACCCCAGCATACATAATCACATGCTTAGAACTTGTCCTCATTGCCACAGGGCTCCTAGAAAGCAGAGAAAGATATCTCCAGACAGCAGTGCGGAGGGCAGTAGAGGGAGGGATGTGGGAAGCTGGCCCACCTGGGCACCATGTTCCTCATTTCCCAGTCAGGATGTTCCCTGGTCAAATAGCTTGAGTGGTAGCTATTGGTCTTTGGCACTGTGGAGGTTTTAGGGGGATCAGAGATGAGTCAGGTAGAAGAAAAAATGATAGCTAACATGGGGTGCCAGAAGGTATCCACTACCTGCAGAAGCTGTGGGGTTAAAGTTGTCAGGATGGGGGCCAGGGATGTAGCTCAGTGGTGCCGTGCCTGCCTGGCAAGTGCAAGGTTCTGAGTTCCATCCCTAGTACCAGAAGAAGAAAAAAAAAAGTTGTCAGGATGGGGCTGCACACCCAATGGAGGGAGCAACAGAGGAAAGCACAGGTATGTGCAGCAGGAGGGCAGGTGTCCCCAAGAGGAGAACAGGAAGTGGCCTGCAGGGTGGTGTGGCTTTTCTTGCTGAGGCCCTCAAGATATACCCCCCCACACACACAAGGATACCTATTTTGGGAAGATGACACTGGGGATGGAGAAGGCCAGCAGGCCCTTGCCTCTTTTACAGACATGTCTCAGACACCACACCTGGACCACGGCCAGGCTGGGGCCTACTGCTCATCCAACTGCCCTGGCCTGTTCCTAGTGAGTAGCATATGGACCTCCAAGACTGTGAGACAGATCAGGACCCTCTCTTGGACAAAGGGCATACTCTGGGTCAGATAAGTCCTGCTTCATTGAGACACAGGAAGCCACTCAAGCCTCCAGGGTTGCAGCCCAGCCCTGGCACACGTGATGTCACTGAGGCTTCCTAGTTGAAGAGATGCTGGGCTAGCGGCAGGCTGCTCTCTCCTTCTTCCTAGGCCACTGGGGCTGGGGTGGTAGACAAGTGCTGTCCTGAACTTTGCACCCTTCACATCCACCTGCTGGCCCTGACCCTACTTGACTGTCTCATAGTGTCCACTTTATCCTGGCTCCTGGACAAAAACATATCCCTGGAATCAAAATCCTTTAGAGACAGTGTGAGGAGGACTCCCTTTAGGGCAGCAGCAGGGATCAGACCTTAGTCAAAAGGCGTGGATGGTACCCTGGGAGGGAGATGTGGGGCCACCATAGTGGAGAGATGGCTGAGCCCCATCCTTGTGGCCTGACCTGTTGTCACTGCTTTCCTGTTAGCCTTGGTGACCTGGATTTTCTTTCAGTACTGGGGATGGAACCAGGGCCTTATGCACACTAGGCAAGTCCTCTACTGAGTTACACAGGGTCTTGGCTCTTGACTTCTGGGGGTTGGCAGGGACAAGGGTGCTGTAACAGGTTTGTTGGGTGCAAAGGGACATGGATGTGAGTGCTTCCCCTAGGGGACAGGCATACATCAGCTGACTAGTGCCCACAGCAGATAGTAACCCTGACCCTGAGCCAGAGCGGGCATGCAGTGACCACAGCACTTGATCCTGAGAACCCCTACTAGCAAGGCTGAGTGGCTCACTGCCCCTCTGTGGGTGGTCTTCCTTACTCCAGAGAAAGGGAGCAGATACCTAGCTGAGATCTGTCCTGGGTTCAGAAGCCATCAGGGCCACTCATTGCTATGGTGGCAGTCATGTCAGCTGTTATTTATGAAGCATTCACCCTAGCTGACATGAAGTTGTTTGAGACAAAGCCTTGCTCCTGCCTCCAACCCCTTAGTTTGGCATTGAGAAGTTCAGTAACAAGTGGTTGAGAGAACTCCAAACAGCAAGAATAATACATCATGGTAGCCTGAAGACACACCTGCCACACAGGAGTGAAGCCAAGAAGAGGCAGGACCCATCAAAGGGTATGCCAGACACAGAGTCAGGGCCCAGAGAGGGCCCAAGTGAGAGTGACGAGAGTTTGCTTGCTCCCATGTCAATAGACTTTCAGTTGATCCCAAGGTGCCAAGGTATCTCTCAGGAACATGTCTGTACCTTCTTGCCAGTCCCCAGGACAATGAGGGTAATGTGGCAGTCACAGAATAGGCTGCCACACTGCTGGATGCTGCCATGGGTCAGCTCTGCCCAGGTTCTTCACCTTTGCTGCTATGTCACTCACGTGTTACACTGACATTGGTGGGAAGATGGTTTCTGGAGAGGCCTGTGGCTTCCATGTGATGACTGCAGGACATCCCTGAAATATAAAGAAGAAGGGCTGGGGATTTAGCTCAGTGGCACCAAGGCTGCCTCGGAAGCACAAGGTCCTGTGTTCGACCCATGGTACCAAACATTTTTTTAAAGAAATATAAAAGGGCCAGAGATTTAGCTCAGTGGTTCCAGTGCCTGCCTCAAAAGTGCAAGGCCATGAGTTTGATTCCTGGTACCAAAAAAAGAAAAAAAGAAATATAAAGAAGAAAATGGGACCCACTCATAATGCAGCTCTCCACAGGACCTGTATGAGTACTCTGGGATAGGCTTATAGTCCTCTGTAGACATGTATTCTGTTTTTGCAGAAGCTGGCACCTGTGTAGGGCCTCACAGCTGTCTCTGTGGTGGTGCTTCCATGTGGTATGGAGGAAATGCCACCAGGAAGAGTTCTGAAAGAATGTGGGCACCAGGGATCCCAGCTCAAAACTGATGGAGAACAAAGATTCAGGGATGAGAAGGGAGCCGGGGCTGACTTATGGGCTGGCAGGGTTATCCTATCCGCATTCATCAGATCTGGACCAACCAAATCCTACCTCCTGAGTATTCTGAATTATTCTGGGTCCAGAACACTGCCTAATTCTAGAATTGCAAAGAAAGCTATGTAAGATCTCCAAGTCCTGCCTTCCCATATCTTCTGCCACCCCCACCTCCCACACCTGTGGACTGGGCAGAGGGGAGCAGAAATGGACAGACAGGAACTGGCTGAGCCTAGGGACTCCCCTCCTCCTCCAAAATCTGAGATCAGAACTGTGCTTCCTCTTGCTTGCCTTCCTGAGCTGGTGCATGGATGATGGCTGTCCCCTATCTGCAGCTAGCCCTCTGCTGTGGTTTTCTCCACCTGTATTGCCTGCCACACCCTCCTTAGCACATGCCTGAGTGCCTCCTGGACAATTTCCTTTGGATCACTTTTTGTAAGTGGTCTTCCAGAGTCAAGTGGACAAGCACATGTAAGACTTCAAAGCTCACTTTATTTCAAAGTATTCCTTTTATGTCTGGATTGATTCATTTCTGCTCTTTTTTTTTTTTTTTTTATACTGAGAATCAAAGAAGTATAACTAGTTATAACTTCCTACATGGGAAAAAATAAGTATGCAGAAAGGAGTTGCTAATAATCTGGATTTCAGCAGTCTGTTGTGATTTCAGTTTTTCATACCCAATTGCATTGATTTGATTCTTTGCTTTTTTTTTTTTTTAA